TGTCGCCCTCTCCTTCTCTCACCCTCACCCTCACTTTCTCTCACCTTCCTTTGCCCCCATCACTCGCCCGCACCCGCCCTCGCTGTCCCTTGCCCTCGCTGTCCCTTGCCCTGTGCTCCCTCTCCCTTGCCCTCCCTCACACGCCCTTGGCCTCCCTCACCTTCTCACACACTTGTCTCGCACTCGCCCAGTCACCTACTCCTTCTCTGGCCCTTGCCCTTTGCCCTCCCACGCTTCTGCCCTCCTTCACCCTCTGCCTTTCCTCTCTCTCTGTCCTCCCTCACCCTCACTTTTGCTTGCCCTCGCTCTTCCTTGCCCTCGCTAACCCTCGTCCTGTCTGCTCTCTCTCACCTACTTTCACCCTCACCTTCTCTTGCCCTCTCTTGAGCCTCTCGCCTTCTCTCGGCAACATCACCCCCCCCCCCCCCCCCCCCCCCCCTCCCCTCCCCCTTCCTGGCCCCCCCCCCTCCTCTCGGCAACCCCCCCCCCCCCCCCACCTTGCCTCGGCCTGTCTCGCTCTTGGTCTCTCTCGCCCTCGACTTCTTCTTGCCCTCACCTTCTCTCGCCCCCGCCCTCTCATTCCCTCTCCTTCGGCCTCTCTTGCCCTCACACTCACTCACCCTTTCTTGACTTCACCCTCGCACTCGCTTGCCCTGTCTCGCCACGCCTTCTCTTGCCCTCGCACTCACATTCTCTTGCCCTCGCCCTCTGCCCGGCCTCGCACTTTGCCCTCCCTCAACCTCATCCATCGCTCTCTTGCGCCCTCGATCTCCCTCATCCGCCCTTGCTCTCTCTCGCCTACTTCACCACCGCCCTCTCTCGCCCTTACTACCTTTGCGTTCTCTCTCCCTTGCCCTCACCGACTCTTGCCCTCGCTCGCCCCCTCCCTCTCCCTCAGCCTCTTTTGCCCTTGCCTGCTCTCGCACTTGCCCTCTCTTTCAATCGTGCTGTCTCACCCTGTCTCGCCCTTGCCTTGTCTTGCTGTTGCTCTCGCCCTCTGCCCTCCCTCACCATGCCTTGCCGTCCCTCTCTGGCAACCGCAGTTGCCTTCTCTTGCATTTCGCCCTCGCCTTCTCTTGCCCTCACCCTCTGCCTTTCTTTACCATTTGCCCTTCCTCGCCCTCTGCCCTCCCTTGCCTCGCTCTCATTCACCGTGCCTCACCCTCCCTATCTTGCCCCTGCAGCCCATGCCCTGCCTCGCCCCCACACTTGGCCTGCCTCGCCCCCCTCTCGCCCTCTCTCACCCTCAACTTCTCTTGGCCCCTCATACGCTCCCTCTCCCTCTGCCTGCCCTCAGCCCTGCCTCGCGCTTTACCCTCCCTAGCCATCACTTTCGGTCTCCCGCGCCCTCACACTCACTCATCCTCCCTTGCTCTCTCTCGCCTACTTTTGCCATCGCTCTCTCTCCCCTTCTCTCTCCCTTGCCCTTTCTGTCACCGCCTCTCACTCTCGCTTGTCCCCCCCCCTCTCCCTCGGCCTGTCTCTCCGTCACTTGCCCTCGCCTACTCTCGACCTTGCCCTCTCTTGCCATCGCCCTGTCTTGCCCTTGCTTTCTCTCGCTCTTGCCCTTGCCCTCTGCCCACCCTCACCCTCAGCCCTTCCTTGCTGTCCCTCACCATGCCTTTTCCTCCCCATGCCTTTTCCTCCCTCTCTCGCCACCACAGCCCATGCCCACTCTCATCACCTCGCCCCCTCTCACCCTTCCTCTCCCCCTCTCGCCCTGCCTAACCTTTCTCACCCTCAACTTCTCTCGGCCCCTCACCCTCACTTGCCCTCACTCACCGTTGCCCTCCCTCACACGGTCTCACCCTGTCTCACCCACGCCTTCTGTTGCACCTCACCCTCTCCTCTTGCCCTCACCCTCGCCTTTCACCCTCGCCCTCTGCCCTCCCTCATCCTCGCTCTCCGTCACCCTCCCTATCTCTCCTGCGCAGCCCACACCTTGCTTCGCTCCTTCTCTCGGCCCCTTGCACCCTCCCTTGCCCTCGCCCTCCCTCTCCCTCGCACTCGCTTGCCCTCACCCTCACTCGCTGTCACCCTCTCTCGCCGTTGCCTTCCCTCACCTCCACATGCCTTCGACCTCTCTCTTGCCCTTTCTCACCCTCTCTCATTCTCTCTCGCTCTCGGTTGCTCCCGCCCTCTCCCTCGGTTGCTACCTCCCTTGCCCTCGATTCCTCCTGTGCCCTCGCCCTCTCTCACTTGCTCCCATCCCTGCCCTCACTCACTCCCTCCCTCCCTCCCTCGACCTCGGCCTATCCCACCTTTCCTCGATTTCCTTCGCTCTCGCCCTTGCCATTGTCCTGTCTCACCCTCGCCCTCTGTCTCTCCCTCACCCCCTCTCCACCTCTCTCACCATCGCCTTCTCTCGTCCTTGCTTTCTTTTGCCTTGTTTCGCCGTTGCCCGCTCTCAAACTCTCTCGCCCCCGCACACTTGTCGCCCTTTCTCGCACTCAGTAGCTCCCGCCTTTGCCTTTGGCCGATCCTACCGTCACCCTCTCTCGCTTGCTCCTGACCCCGTCCTTGACCTCTCCCGCCCTCTCCCTCTCGCTAGCCCTCCCCGCCCTTTTTCATCCTCTCTTACCCTCACCTTCTCTCACCCTCACCTTCTTTCACTTCGCCTTCTCTTGCCTTCCCTGGCATCCACCTTGCCCACCCTCACCTTCGCCCTCATTGACCCTCCCGGGGCGAGAGCGGGTGAGGGCGAGGTAAATCGAAGAAAGTGAGATAGGCCGAGGGTGAGAGAGTGAGTGAGTGAGGGCGGGGATGGGAGTGAGTGAGAGAGGGCGAGGGCAGGAATGACCGAGGACAAGGGCGGGAGCAACCAAGGGCGAGAGAGAACAACAGAGGGTGAGAGAGGAGGGTCATGCAGAGGTGAGGGACGGCAACGGCGAGAGAGAGTGAGAGCGAGTGTCCCTCCTGCTCCCTGTCCCTCCCCCTCATTCTCCTGCCCTCGCCCTTTCTTGCTAGCCCTTCCTCATGCTACTTCACCTTTCCTCGCCCTCTCCTCTCACCCGTACCCTTATCTCTCGACCTTGCTTTCTCTTGCCTTCCCTCGCCCTCACATTCTCTCACCCTTGCCTTCACCCTCTCTCACCCTCTCTCGCCTCCTTTCACCCTTGCTCGCTTTCTCTCGCCTTTGCTTTCCCACTTGCCCTCTCTTGCCCTCACTGTCTCTTGCCCTGTCTTGCCCACGCCTTCTCTTACCCTCACTATCTGCCCTGACTCACCCTCGCTTTTGGTCTCCCTCACTCTTGCAGTCTCTCACCTACTTTTGCCGTCGCCTTATCTCGCTCTTGCCCTCTCTCACTGCCTCTCGCCCCCTTACTCTCCCTTGGCTCTCTCACCCTCACCTTGTCTCTCACCCTCACCTTCTCTCTCCCTCGCCCTCACTCAGTCTCACCCACTCTCACCCTAACTCGCTCTCACCCGCTCCCCCCCCCCTTGCCCTGTGTCACCCTCGCCTTCTCTTGCCCTCGCCACCTCTTGCCCTCTGTCATCTCTCTCCCTCCCTCTCCCTTTCCCTCGCCCATGATCTCGCACTTGCCCTCACCCATGCTCTCGCGTTTGCCCTCACCCATGCTTTTGCCCTCGCCCTCACCCTTGCTCTTGCCCTCCTGTGTCCTCGCTCACCTTCACTCTCCCTCACCCACTCCTTCTCTTGCTTGCCCTCACCCTCTCCCTCTTTGCCCCGCTCTCTTTCCCCCTCTCTGCACCTCTCTCTCGCCCCCTCTCCACCCCGCTCTCTCTCCCCTCTCTCGCCCCTTCTCCGGTCCTCTCTCTCACCCCATTTCCACACCTCTCTCTCGCCCCTTCTCCATCCTGCTGTCTTGCTCCCTTTCCGCCCTGTCTCTCTCCCTCTCTCTTCCTCTCCACTTCTCTCTCTCCCTCTCTCTCGCCCCACTCGCCCTGTCTGCCCCTTTCTCTCTCCCCCTTTCCATGCCTCTCTCTCCCCCCTCTCTGCCCTCTCTCTCCTCCTCTCTGCTCCTCTCTCTCTCTCCCCCTCTCCACCCCTCTCTTCCCCCCCTCTCCGCCCCATCTTTCCCCTTCTCCGTCCTCTCTCTCTCCCCCTCTCCACCCCTCTCTCTCGCCCCCTCTCCACCCCGCGCTCTCTCCCCCTGTCTCGCCCCTTCTCCACCCCTCTCTCCTGTCCCCCCTCTCCACGCCTCTCTCTTTCACCCTCTCCGCCTCATCCCTCCCCCTCTCTGCACCATCTCTCTCACCACCTCTGCCCCTCTCTCTCATCCCCTCTCCACCCCCGTCTCTCGCCCTTTCTGCCCCCCTCTTTCCTCCTCTCTGCTCCTCTCTCTCTCTTCCTCTCTCTCGCCCACCCCTCTCCCCCTCTTTCTTCCCCTCTCCGACCTCTCTCTCTCCGCCCTGTTCTCTCGCCCCCTTTCCGCACCTCTCTGTTGCCCTCTTCTCTCCGTCCTGCTCTCTCGCCCCTTCTCCGTGCTTCACAATGGCCCCCCCCCCCCCCTCACTCCCCCCCTGTCCGCCCCCGTCTTTTCCCCCTTCTCCCCCTCTCTCCCCCCTCCTGTCTACTTCTCTCTCTCTCTCCCTCTGTCTCGCCTCTTCTCCGCTGCGCTCTCTTCCCCTCTCTGTTCTCTCTCTCGTGCCCTCACCGCCCCCCCACCCCTCTCTGCTCCCCCTACCACCCCCCTCTCTTCCTTTCCAACTCCCTCCCTCTCTCTATCTCCATTTTTGATTCTCACCACACCTCCCCCGACCCATTACAATAGCTCTTGGGAGAGTCAAAAGAATGGGAAATGGACCAATCTTTACAGGCATGCCTTAGCTGTTACTGAAATTTTCATGTATGAATCTGTCATACTGGGCTTGTGCGCAGTTATTGCATCTCTTATGCTCACTTTCTCCACTGTATGTCTCTCACTTTACTTTCCTCTATCAAGATCAGCACTTTAAGACGCTAGCAGGAGGATTGTTGACTCATGTATCACAATATCGGCTTTCTGTAGTGGGCATTTTGTTTTATGTGTTCACAGGTGAATCAGCAGATGGCGGGGATGAATCTAAGTTGCCCAAGTGGTGTAATGAGCTTCAGCCAAGCTGCAGGCACAATGGGAAGATGGACAGGCAAACCAACAGGACAGACTCTTAGTACTCAGTTGTGGAAATGAAGCAAAGAAAGAGCTGAGGCCGCCATCCTGCAGTTATCCATCATCTGAATTGCATAACAGACATTTGTTGTTTTATTGGTGCAAAAAGAAATACTCTGGTTTGACTGCTTGATGTTACAAACTTGATCTATTCTTGGCAGCTTATTGTTGATTCAATCAAATGAAGTCATTCCCTGCTTAAACAATGGAGTACTAGTTTCAGATGTTTTCTTCCCCTCACTATTTTTCTAAAATGTATTCATCACAAGCTATCTGAACTGTTCACAACAAATTCTAATGGTATTGTATGTGACTTTGTAGCTAGTACTTGTACTGCTAAGGGAAGAAAGTGAATTGTCATTTTGGCAGCCTCCCTCTGGAAATCCAGTACCCTCTAATTATAATCACCTGAACTCTGTAGAAGAAATTGTATGAGCTGCTGAGCTAAATTACTAGGTGTAAGTGAGTTTAAAAAGCATTTCCTGGATACCATCTTATTGCTTTTGTTCCAAAGATTTTTCTTTGTGGTGATATTATGATGTGGAGCAAATAAAAGAAAGCAAAATTGGAAGAAAAATAAATCTGGATGGTAGGTGGTAAGTGTTTTGGACTTTTGTTTGGGTTTAAATCCCAAGAAGTGAAAACAGAATGTATATGGTTTGAACTGTTTTACTGCAAATGGTAAATTACCTATTCTTAGCTGGCAACCCTAGAGGTACTCTATACTTTATTGCATGTTAATTTGTCAGTATATTTCTTGCTTTCACCACACCTTCCTCTTTGAAAAAGTTTAGCAGTACATTGATTTAAGTATTAAAACACTGCTAATATCAACTATGTAATGCAAACTGTCAAAAGTGACAATTCAATTTGTTGCAAGGTCCTCAAATAGCTAAGTAACACATAACCTTAAGTGTCTGCTATAAATCATCTATCTGAAATAAATGTTCAGTAATGCTGCTAGAAATGATTAATGCGTTGGGAGTTTTTAATACCATGATAATCTGTAATTGATAACTTTGTAAATATCAAATTGTAAGTAGCTTCTACATGCTTTCAGTGTTGTCTCTAATGTTAATTTATTTTGCCACCCATCCTAGAACAGTTCATGCACAATGTAACAACATATTGCCATGTTAGCTCAATTAACATCATAAGTCTGGGACGGCACGGTGGCTCAGTGGCTCAGTGGTTAGCACTGCTGCCTCACAGCGCCAAGGACCCAGGTTTGATTCCACCCTTGGGCAGCTATCTGTGTGGAGTTTGCATCTTCTCCCCGTGTCTGCGTGGTTTCCTCCGGGTGTTCTGGTTTCCTCCCACTGTACAAAGATGCGCAGGCTAGGTGGATTGGCCATGCTAAATTGCCCGTAGTGTTCAGGGATGTGTCGATTAGGGTGGTTAAAGGAGAATGGGTCTGGGTGGAAATCTCTGTAGGTCAGTGTGGACTTGTTGGGCTGAAGGACCTGTTTTCACACTGTAGGGATTTTATAATCGATGTTCCAAGTTTGTCTTCAATTGTTTGAACTAATTGTGATTATGTAGATCTTTGAAAAGGCAAGCAAAAAAATATTTTTACAAAGTGTTTTTGCTCCTTCATATTTTACTATTGTCACCAATCACTGTAGCTTATCTGAGAAATCTCCCTGAGGAGGGAAGCTTTTGATGCAGCAGCAGAACATTTGAGACAAAATGCTAGTGCTCACCAGCCTTTGACTTCCTGCCAAAAGCAGAAAAGTTTTGTGTTAACACAGGAGATTTGAATTTCTATCCCTTAATATTGTAAAAAATTATTGATGCACATCACACCAAACTGTTCCACCTTAAACAGTTTATGGTTCTGTATTCACTTATTTTAAAATTGCCTTACTAGTGGTTTATGAATGTTCAAACCTATAATTGTAATATAAATAACATTTTTTGCATACTTTTTGAGTTTTCTATCTTTGTTAAACCTTAATGGCTACTTAATAACAGGTGCTTAAAGAGTTATTGGCTAAATGCACCAAACATGAACAGGGTAACTGTGCGTAGCGCTCACCATATCCTTGAGTTTCCCTTGAGCTACATCCGGGTTTATTACTGCAGTTGTGTTTACATATATGGTGCCTAGTATAGCAAGTATGTTATTTCACTGTATTAATTCAATTAAACTGTTGTGCATGTTTTGTATTTCGGAATTATTTCATTTGTTTGCTCCACTGAGATAGCATTCCAATTAGGTTCATTTAAACTTTAAACTTCAGTGTCAGTGCTAATCAGATTATTGTTGCACTAATCTAGTGTAAATTCACTGAGGCAGAACCACACTAAAATTAGTGTGTGTTAAGGCTAACTGGAGCAGATACTGTCACTCCTCTTCAGAGTCAATTTGAGCCTTAAAAGCTGATTGACACTAGGCATGTTTAGTGCCAGTGTGAGTGGTTTTAGCTTGTACATGTGTATTCATAAAACTATCCTGCATTCAGTTTCTCTGTTAACTAATGGGATTATGGTGTTGACAAACAATGAATTTCATAATTCCTTGTGGAAGAGGCAATTTTTAAAGTAATGGAAAATTTGAAGCATACGTGTGAATTGATTCAGCTACACAACGAGAAGTTTCATTTGTCTGCAGCACGTCTTTTATTGAATGAATTTCGTGCTAAAAACTTTGCAGATGGAAAAAAAAAAGAATATTTTATAAACTTTTGAAGCTATGTGAATTGTTTCCCTTGGAAAAAAATGTCTGAAGTGAATAGCTTCTTCCTGCTGCTGTGACAGCTTCTTCATAGAATCATGGAATTCTATGACAGCTTCTGTTTAGCCTCCATTTTACCAGGGCATGTGCTGGGCTCCCTTGTCCACGTGGCTCTTGATAGGCTCAAACCAGTGATTTCTAGACTTCAATGTGAATTATATCCTGGTTGTGTTTAGGTTCATATACAAGGTTTGCCTTCTCGGTCCGTGTGTGCCAAACAAGCACCTAAAACACAAAATAAAAGAATTTGTTTCTCTTCAAATATGAGGAGGAGACCGGTTAGCCCATTACACCTATGGCGTCTGTTTTAAGTGATTGTCACTCCCCTGCTTCCTCCCCATTGCACTGCAGTTCCTGTTTGCAGTTAATTATCCATTCCCTTTGGATATTTTTTCAAGCAAAAGTGGATTCAATAATCTTTTAATTAGTGCATTCCAGATCATCATCATGTGATGCATTTTTTAAAAAAAAACAAATTTCTCCTTCTATATTTTACTGATTACCTTAAACCTTTAATTTCTGATTACTGTCACTGAGAGCAATTTCTCCCTAACGACTGTATCAGCTGCCCTCGTAATTTTGAATACCTGCATGTAATTGTTTTCAGCAGAACAATTCCGATGTGTTCTTGACCTCCAATTGTATTTTGAAGAGCAGCTATTTCACTTATGGATCCAAATGTGTGCACCAGCAGTGTCTCATCTCTGAGTCAGAGGATTCAACATCCAAATCTCACCCAGGACGTGGGCCCACAGGTAAATTCTGAAAGTCTACTGCAAGTCTGAGGTGGTCCAACACTATCAAAGATGTCCTTTTCAGATGTGATGTTAAACCAAGGACTTGTCTACTTCAAGTGAGAGGATAGTTGAAGCGGGTAACCTCACAACCTTTTAAAAGTACTTGGATGAGCACTTGAAATGTCATAACCTAACAATGGTAGGGCCTTAGGTAGTGTTGTAGAACAGAGGGACCTAGGAGTGCAGGTACATAATTCTTTGAAGTTTGTGCCCTGTATAGACAGGGTGGTTGAAAAGGTTTTTGGCACACTTGCCCTCATTGCTCCATCCTTTGAGTATAGGAATTGGGAAGTCAAATTGAGGTTGTACAGGACATTGGTGAGGCCTCTTCTGGAATACTGTGTGCAATTCTGGTTGCCCAGTATATAGGAAGAATATAATTAAGTGTGTTCAGAAGAGATTTACCAGGATGTTGCCAGGTGTGGAAGTTTGAGTTATGAAGAAAGGCTGGGATTTATTTTCACTGGAGTGTAGGAGGTTGAGAAGTGACCTTATAGGTTTATAAAATAATGAGGTGTATAGATGGAGTTAATGGTAGTTGTCTTTTCTCTGGGATGGGGCATTGCATGACTAGAGGATGCATTTTTAAGGTGAGAGGAGAAAGGTTTTAAAAAAAGACATGAGCAAATTTTTTATACAGGGTGGCTCGTGTGTGGAGTGAACTTCCAGAGGAAGTGGAGGATATGGGTACAATTACAACGTTTAAAAGACTTTTGGATAAGTACATGCATAGGTTTGGAGGGATGTGGGCTAGGAGCAGGCATGTGGGACTAGTTTAATTTGGGATTATGCTTGGTATGGACTGGTTGGACCGAAGCACCTGTTTCTGTGCTGTATGACTGTATGATGTTATAGGCCTAGTGCTGGAAGGTGAGACTATTATAGATTTAGTGGCACAGACTTGAGAGACCAAACGGCTTCTACAGTATTATATAATTCTATAAGTGCAAAGGATCCTTTGCTTCAGCCTTTCCTGTAGTGTTAAATGCAATCACCTAGTTTATTTCACTTTGGATTGCATACTTAATATTCACAATCACATTTTGAAAGGTTGGAAGATAGTATAGTTTCTCATTGAAGAAATTTGTCCCTCAGGATTTTCTTAGTTTGGCTGTCATTTTTCCAATTCAATGGATGTTTAATACTCTGTTACTTAAATTAATTCAATGATTGTCCCTTTATTTTGAAATCAGTTAGGGATAATGAAAAAGACAATTTTGGGTAAAAATGTTTGGAAATTTATTGATTTAGCCCAATAAGGTTCTCTATCCTAATCTTAGATAATTTTCTACCTAAGACCAATTTCATTCTATTCAGCACTTAAGATCTTTACGTTATACAAATATTTCCAACCACCAACCCCACCCCCCCCAACTTCTGATTGTTAGTACTTGTAGCTCCTTCTTCAAATTCTGATTTCTACCATAAACCTTTTCCGAATCTTTGCAAGCAGCAGCATTCCCCAGCATCATTGGTTAGATTCATCAGCAACTCAAGATTGTTTATGCAAAACATTTGTGCAGTGGCAATTACTTGTAAGTCATCAGCATGACTATAGAGCAACTACACACTAATAGATAAGTATCAGATGTATACAAACAGTTCTAAATTGCATTTGTGGCAAAGTGTGCCGAAGCTCAATAGCAGAAGACTCTATGAAGGCCTGTAATGGCAAAGCTACTTTAGTATATTAGTTACATGGCTGCAACTTCATGGAAGAGCAGGACTTCCAAAATGGGGTTTGGGAACCCAAGTGGTTGCATGCTACAAAATTGGGGTTAGGAACTCTGAGGCAACCATGGCTGACCTCCTCACCCCATCCTCTCCACCCCCAATCCTGCTCTTTCTTTGCTCTTCAAAGGCATCCCCAGTCCTGTCATCACCACCAGCATTTAGCCAGCACTCAGATTTTCATGACAAGCTACAAAATAACTTCACAGTAGGATATGGTTTGAAAGCAAACAGCGTTTTTCATCACCAGCACTTGTCTTTTCCTGCCCTCCTATTTTCTGATGATGCAAATCTTTACAGCACTACCTCAAAGCAGATTAGGAGTCAGCAAATGGTTGAGAGTTGACTATATTAAACTTGGTGCAGTTAGCAGCTTTTGGCTCAAGTTCTTGGACTGTTGTAATCTGTTTCAGAAAGTCTGATTCCTGCATTCCTGGCTGTGATCCACCCCGCTTGAACACAGCTTTGGGATGTGATAGAATAACTTCCAGATTCACAGCAAATCCTATTTGAAAACAAAAAAGATCTCTTAAATGTATTTGGCCAGCACTCAGAGTTTCCTACCTACTAGCCTCATCCCCGCCTCCTTGATCTGTCCGTCTTCCTTCCCACCTACGTGCCCCTCCCTCCTCGCTGACCAACCCCCATCCCAACTCCCCACCTACACTCTCACCTTTACTGGCTTCATCCCCGCCTCCTTGACCTGTCCGTCTCCTCTCCACCGATCTGCTCCTCTATCCACCTTCTGTCATCGCCTCCCCCTCTCTATTTATTTCAGAGCCCCCTTCCCCTCCCCCATTACTGAAGAAGAGTCCAGACCCGAAACGTCAGCATTCCTGCTCCGTTGATGCTGCCTGTTCATCCAGCTCTACACCTTGTTATCTCAGACTCCAGCATCAGCAGTTCCTACTATCTCTCTTAAATGTATGATGGTGTGTTCATGTTCTGCAGAATCCTCTTCCTTGAAGGCTTTCTAATACCTTTCTCCACCCTTGTACAACATTCCTGATTTGTGGAGGGGATCAACAGACAGTTGATTAGTGTAATTTTTTTTATATGCAGTCTAGAAGGAATGGCAGCAAAGTTCCTGTTTACAGAAGCAAAGAAGTGCAGATGCTGCAAATCTGAAGTAAAAGCAGAAAGTGCTGGAAATACTCAACGTTCAGAAATATTAACTTGCATTCATCATCTCGTCAGCACATTATTAAATCTTTTACACATCAAAATATTTCATTTTCTAAAAAACTGATATGTACAATTAAACTGTTAAATAGTTTTTGTGATATAAAATCAGATTAGTAACATATAAGGACACCCTTATTAGAAACGCTCATTTTTGATGATTTAAATCCACTTCCAGCTTTATAGACAGAACTAAATCTTGTTAACCGTGCCAATGCGCCATGGAATACTGTCCTTTACATAGAGAAAATCTTAAAGAACATACTGTGCTGGTCATGGAAGATTTTACTTTTGTGTTTAGTCAAACAATTTAAGGGGAGCTTGAAGCCTAATTTAATCACTGCAATTTCAAGTAGATGTTTGGTTTAGTTTTTAGATCACACCCATGGTTAGCAACTTTTATTCCTGGGCTAGCTAACTAACGTTGCCTAGCCACTGGGGAAGGCTCGTCATTCAGAAACCACATGGTTATCCTGCATGCAGGAAAAGTGACAACCAGTAGCTCTGTTATTTATCTAACTGTCACAGTCCTAACACTTAGAAGTGGCACTCAAAAGGCACTTGTTTGGGTCAGTCTCAGGACAGCAGCCTTTGGAGATTAGTCATATGGTGCACCCTTTGGGATTACTGTCTCAACATTGCTACAGGTGCTAAATGATCCTTTTAAAAATGTTGTAGTGTTTGGTTCTTATTGTGAATAATTTCATTCAATTTTGGGGTTT